AACAATGCAGGACAGCCTAAATCTACAGGAGAACCTAGAGGCATCAGAAAAATGGTCAAATAAAGAACTCAAGGAATACCTTATACAGATGGAATGGAATCTTTTTTTTTTAAAGAGAGAGTGAGAGAGAGGGGGACAGAGAGAGAGAGAGAGAGAATTTTAACATTTAATTTTTTTTTTTCAGTTCTCGCAACACACAATATTGTATGTGGTGCTGAGGATCGAACCCGGGCCGCACGCATGCCAGGCGAGCGCGCTACCACTTGAGCCACATCCCCAGCCCACAACAGAGCCTTACTATAAGCATTATGTATTATTTAAACTATAATAATCCCAGCTAACTGCAACATTGAAAGATTAAAATCTAATATAAAACAGGGGGTTGGTAAAGAGCCATAAGAATTAAATGTATATAATGTAAATATATCATTAAATGTATATGTAATCCAAATAACAAGTATGGCTAGGGGTATAGCCCAGTGGAAGACTGTGTTCATACAGAGACCTGAGGTTCCATCCCCAGCACCAAAAAATAATAGTAAGTAAACCTTCTTCAAAGTATTCATTCTCTCTTCCTCTCACCCTCTCTCTCTCTCCTCTCTTACTCTCCCCCTCCCCCTCTCTTACTCTTAACTCTCTTATTCTGTCTTACTCTCTCTTACTCTCTCTCACTCTCTCTTTTCTCTCTCCTCTCTCCTCCCTCCTCTCTCTTTCCCCCTTCTCCCCCTTCTCCTCTCTCTCCCCCCTCCTCTCTCTCCCCCCCTCCCTCTCTCCCTCTCTCTCTCCCTCTCTTCCTCTCTCTCTCTTCCCCCTCTCCTCTCTCCCTACTCCCTTCTCCTCTGCGACTAGCCACTACAGTCCTGCTAATAAAATCTTGGACCAGTAAAGGGTTGTTTTGGCTTGTTGAGTTTACGGAGCTTTTCCATCGTCCTTTACAGGCAGAATCACAGCCTGTGGAACAGGAGTGCCCTGTGTTTCTCCTTTGCTAGCAAAGCAATAAACCTTCTTTTTCCCTTTTTCTCAAAACTCATTATTGGATTGGCATTGGAGACAAGGACTGAGCTTTTGGCAACAAGACCCTGTCTTTAAATTTTTTAAAAAAGGCGGGTAGGGCTGAGAATGTGGCTCAGTGCCCCTCAATTCAATCCCCAGTTAAAAAAAAAAAAAAAAAAGACTCAAACACTAAAAACTCATTCTTTTGAATCTCATTCTTGAATTATTCAGAAAATATTGCTGCTGTTTGTTTAGTTTTGTTGCTAAGGTCATTTTTTTGTGTGTGTACTGAGGGTTGGACACAGGGCCTACAGCATGCAAAGAAGGCACTATTCACTCTACCACCCAGCTACACCCAATAAGGCTGATTTATCTGTAACTTTTGTCATGTAGATATTATTTCTTTTGAAACGTTTGAAGTATTTACTACCTTGAAATATATATCAACCTGGTGTTTTAATGTAGTTATAACTTTGGTTTTTTCCTATGCTTTTTTTTTTTTTTTTTTTTTTTGTAGTTAGGATTGAACCCAGGGGTGCTTTTTTATTTTTTATTTTGAGAAAGGGTCTTTCTGAGTTGCTGAGGCAACTTATCATCCTCCTATCTCAACTTCCTGACACCATTTTTTGAGGGGGAGGGAGTTATCAGGGATTGAACTCAAGGGCACTTGACCACTAAGCTGCATCCGTAGCCCTATTTTTGTATTTTTTATTAGAGACAGGATCTCACTGAGTTGTTTAGCACTTCACTAAATTGCTGAGGCTGGCTTTGAACTCCCAATCCTCCTGCCTGAGCCTCTGGATCCATTGAGATTACAGGTATGCCACCATGCCCAGCTGACACCATTTTTGACCGGAAGGTATATAAACCTATGAGAGAAGGAATAACAATTGTCACATTCTTTCCTTTAGAGAGAGTATAACCATACCATACAGATGGAAATTTTAGGATTTGGTAGTAATTTTCTTTTCCTTCCAGTCCTGGGGGTGGAACCCAGGGCCTCACTCATGCTCCGCAAGTGCTCTATCATTGAGCTACATATACAACCCTGGAAGTAGATTACAATACAAAAGTTGTATCTTAGCTTTTTACTTTCTGTCTATAAAATAAAAAATAAAAAGAATTGGGAATATGACTAAATTATTATAAAATATTTT